AGCTTGGCTGCTGGGCTCAGCTTTGGCCAGCAGTGGGTTAGCTGGAGCCAGCTGGAAAAGGCTGTGTCCAGCACAGGGCAACCTCTGGATTCTTCTCGCGGAGGACACCCCTGCAGCCTTCCTGCTGCCAAAACCTTGCCAAGTAAACCAAATAAAACAGTAAGTGTTTCTCATGAGGAATCCAGCTTTTCTTCTTGGTCAGTACAACTGCCACCAATTTTCTTCACTCTTAATAGATACTGGTGCTGAGAAGATGAGTGCTGCATTAAATTTTTGTGGTGTTTGTGTTGGTTCAATCACAGAATGGCTGTCCCAAGTAGATTCACAGTTTCTTTTTCTGTTGGTGCATGAGTACCACTGTAGTAAAAAATTTGGGCAGGTGAGTATTTTTTTTTTTTAAGCTTTTTGAAGGGGCAAACATTAACAGTTTTTGGAAGTTAATTTTCAGGCTTTTTAAAGTACCACCTAAGTTTGTGGATCGTGTGGTCATTCCTGATCAGAATAAATTGCCTTAAATACCATGATTATCTTAATAACACTTTGGAATTATCCATAGATTAAGCAACTTAACTTGACTGAGATCTGGGAGCAGGGATAGGAGGCAAAGAGCTCTCTAAACTTAAACAAGGATGATGCAGGGGGCACAGGAACATTTAGGAAGATGAAGGGAGGTACCAGGGAAAAAAAATGTAAGCAGAACATGAATAATGTCAGAAAAGACTTATCAGCTTGTGACTTGATTATGTGCATTAGCCGTAGAAAAATACACTAATCAGTTGAATATTTCCAAATTATTTGGCCTGTCGTATTAAACTGAAATGCAGGTCCCCTATGACCTAGAAGTAGCATGCTTCCATTTTTAGTATTGAGAAATGTCTATATTGACATTTTTGTCTTGGTTTTTGCTTAGCCATGTCTTTTAATCCCTGATGTTTGAATGTAAAACAAAACTTTAAAGCAGTTCTTACTGTCTTCTGTGTTAGGTGCTTCCTTACTTGCCCGTGTAGAGGCTTTCTATTAAGATGCTAAAGGAACTCAGTTCAGGCAGCAGCACAAGTTGTATTAGGTGTTATTTCAATTAATTGCTTTTGTAATATCTGCAGTCTTGAAGACATGGTTCACTGTTTTTTAGAAGTTACTTGTATACATACTAGCTTGTACAGCAGATTGTAGATTAGAAGACCCAAACAGACTCTTAGAGGTGATCAAAGTGATGTAAGTGCAAGACAGTAGCTCATAAACATGTTCTGTAGCAAATGATGGAGTATAGGTGGGTAAGGGGTCTGTTTAGTAGCTGAGAGATATGAGGAAGTGGCCTGGAAATGGAGCAGTTCAAACTGATTGTAGTGGAGGAGGTAACATAGTTTGAGTTATGGTTGCATTCTTTCAGAAAGACTAGGGAATAGGGAAGATCATCATCTTGCGTTGAAGGTTAGACTTCTCAATATAGATCAAGGGTTGCTATCTTTATTTCATAATAACCTTACTAAATTCCTCTGTGTGGTGCTTGACTGAAACCCAAGCTTTTTGTTTTTGCCTGTTCTAGTAGTGAAAGCTTTTCAGCATCAGTTGATAAATAGTCATGCTGTGAGAACAAGATGTTTTGATGAAGTGCTGTCCTTTGCTCTGAAGTTGAACATGTAGTTGTTCTGAGGGGCTTGGATTCCTTTTCATTTATGATGTGACACAAAGAAAAATTTTGTAAATTTTCATGGCTAAGTGTATTTAGTCTATCTAATCTTTGAAGATACTCCAGCTGGTTTAAAGCTAGTAAACAGCAGTACAGTAGTGTCACAAGAAGACTGTGGATGACATATGTCCTTTGCTATAGGTGACAAGTAGAAGGCAGCAGTGAGCGTATAGCTCCTGCTGCAATGTTTTTCTAGCCTATCTTAGGCTTTTTGTGGGCGTAAAGGAAAGGAAGTATTTATGCTTTCCTTTACCCAGATACTGAATGATAAGCAACTGGAGACATGCTTTTAATTAAAGTAAGGTTGATATGACATGGTAAGCTTCAGCTTGACTATGTAAGCTGCAAGCTCAACTACTAGTCTGAGTGTTGGTATTGTCTTAATCATTGGCCAAGTGCTGGTTAATAGGCTAGAAATAAGGTGTCGATTGGTCTGTAATCAGAGGAGGTATGAGGAAAATCTAGGTACACAAGGATCCCTTCTGTGGAAGGCCTAAGTCAACTGATGCTCTGAAATTGAGCAAATGTAGGTTGATGTTAATTGCAGATCGTTTATGGTTCAGTGGTCTTTATAGCACTGTGGAAATACGGAATGAACTCTTAAGGTAGAATGAAGGTCTTTAATATTAGTATCTTCAATCTTGTATTGAATGGGGCTGGATTTGAGGTTAAAATGGGAAAAAGTGTGCTTTTTCAACCACATATCTACTTCAAGTGTTATGCATTACTTCAGACATATTCCAGAGGAGGTATGGGTAACCATCTACTGGCCATAGTTGGCAAAAGTTAAGGAAGTAATGCAAGCTTCAGACTTTTGGTCTTAATTGTTTTTAAAACATCTGTTTCCTCTACAGCTAATACCTAGTGGGAGTTTGCTGTGGAGAGGTAAAATCTTAGTGTGCTTAAATATGTGGAAATGCACAAGTTAATACTTACCTGCATATTAGTCTCTAAATCTATACTTAATAAGGCCTATATAATTTTACTTGTTTTATAAGCGATGTTCTAATATTGTGTTTGAGTTTGCAGATGGAAGCTGATCTTCAGAATTTAATGAACAATAATAATAGCATTGTAACTCTGAATAGCTTTAATAAGCAGCTGTAATAAAGTTCTTAACCTTTTCAAGATGATTATGTGCCAACTTTTAAGGTTAATAAAATAATTTAAACTGTGAAGCTCCCTCATTCATGTGGAAGACCATGCATTGTGTTCCTGCATATAGAATTTGGAAATAAGTCTGTCTAGGTTGTCACATCTAGCAATCTGAAAACATTATTGTTTTTGGAAGCTCAGTATGCTTATCGAGCATATTCTGTGACTAAGGTTTGTAGGAAAATACAGCAAACTTGTTGGAATCGTAACTGAATGGGTTTGCTATCTGGGCTCGCTTTTGTGCGCTATGCCCTAACACACCCAAAGAAAAGATTGTGAGGGAGCAAGCCTGCCAAAGAAGTGGAGAATGATTTCCTGAACTAGCTTGTAGCCCAGGAGAAACAATAGGATGTGTTCTTGTTGAGGACAGCTTGGAGAACAAATTCCCTGGCTTGTGCTGTATTTGGAAGGCATAATAAAAACACTGCTCTGTGTTTTAATTAAGATCTTAAGGAACGACCTTATTTCTCTGAAACTGCTGGATTCAGACCATTCATAGAACTGAAACAAATGAAGCCACCTTGGAAAGAAGGTGGCTTCTTCCTCTAAAGATAAAAATGAGAAGGAAATGGGGAGAACAGAATGTACAGATATTGGAATATTACTTTCAGTTCTCTAGACTTAGTGCTAAGTTGCCTGAATTCTTCCTGTTTACAATAACTTCACACACTTTCTCTTTAAGGGACTAAACTGTCTAGCTTTTTAAGCTGTTGGCTTATTTTAATCTAGCCCTTAATGTCTGAAAAGTCTGAATGCACAAACTCAGCCTAACTGCTGATATGGTTGGTCTACAAAATCATCATTTACTCCTGGTAAACTTAGTGTTTCATATGCCCCCTTGGTTTAGCCAAGAAATTCTGTTCTTATTTTGTACATCAGGCAGTTCGCTATTAGTGTACAAAAACTTGCAAAAAGCCTGCTGTGTCTGATTTTGAAAAAAATAGCAGTATCTGATTGAGTTATCCTGGTCCTCAAAAAATTTTTACTTGTACTTATCTAAGCTTATGACTTGCTGCCTAAATAACCACAGCAGTTACACTTTTTTGGTTTCAAATTCTTGAATTAGGTTATGCACTCCAAAGGACAGTTGTGGGGCAAATGACATGCCTAGTGCAGTTAAAGGGGAATGGAAGCTCTTCTAGAACCGTCTCCAGAAGAGAGGCCTTTATCTGGTGGTTGTGATGTGGTTGCAGTAATCTTATGTTAATCACTCATGGATAGATAGTGTTTTAGAATAATAGTATTTAAGTAGCACTTACCTGGGTTTTCTTAGAACTCAAGTATATTTCCTACTACCTTAGTATTTATAAGCATCTTATTTTTTTCCTATCCGATTCTCAAGTCTTCACATCACTTCAAAGTTACATTTCTAGTTGACTTTAACCTTTGAGTCAAAATACTGTGTGCAGTTGATTTCTATAACTTGAACCTTGAAAGTTGCTTTGAATAATCGATACTGATGAGTAACTGAGAGGACTTGCAGGCAGAAACAAGAAAAAAGTAGACGTGGTATTTGAACTTGGTTATCTGAGTGTTACATCACTCCCTCAAAGATTTTGTCACTGAGTGTTTGATTAGTGCCACAGAAGGGAGCTCTCACTCGGGAAAGGTGAGATGTTCCTTATAAGCTGTGTCCAGGTTACCTCTTGTTGGAAGGTGAGCGTGCAGGTGTGGCCAAGCTAAGGAAAACAAACTCTGATTTTCCCTTAATTCAACCCAAATGCAGGTATATAGTTCAGGTTTTCTAGATAATATAGCAAATACAGGTTGTGTTTTCTACTAAATGCTTTGTTTATTTAATATAAGATCTTAGTTGTGTTCTTAATGACACTCTTGACTTGCAGGTAGACTTCTGTATTACAGTGTAGTGTGTGATGTACTTTAACACTTGATTTCTGAGCTTAGTATATCCACCAGACAAAGAGATGGTTCTCATCTTAGATCAACTTTTTAAATGCTTGACATAAACCCTGTTTAACAGAGTAAACTTTTTGTTAGCACTTCTCAAGTATTTACCGAAAACTTACTGGTTTAAGTGTGTTTTGAGCTCTGAGGTCATCTGAAATCATTACTCCTTTATTGAGACTTAGACAAGTCTTCACTTTTGTCAACTGCAAGCACTTTCAATGTAATTGTAATAAATCTTTATTTCTAGATTGTGTGGGGAGTGTTCTTCGTCATTGTGGCACTGCTATTCACTGTCTCTTTGTTCTTGTCAAAGTAAGTACATTTCAGCTTTATTCTTAACCACTTAAACTACTTAGTTTCTGCTCTAACATCAAAATCAGGCCTAGTTTGCTTCAAGAGTCAGCCCACTTCTGTGCTACATTTCTGTAACTAGAGTTGCATTTCTCACTAAAATAGTATATATTGAAACTGAGCAAAATGTGCTAAAACAGATTGAGAAAAGAACATGGTTCAGCTTGATTGTGTGCTGCTGAAAACAGTTCTGATTCAGTAGAGGAATTAAGCATATATGTTAGGGAAGTTTAGTTCAGACTACAGAAGTATTCTGATTGCTTGAATGAATCTTAATGCTTGTAGGTACTTGGGCTGGGTAACAGGTGCTTAAGTTCTTGCAGTAAATGACATGTATAATCCATTATGGTGTGCATTACATTGTAATTGTTTCGTGGCATTGAAAGCAATATAGCTAGCTGCAAATCTAGTGGATTTCAATGAAGATTGACACTAACTAGAGGTCTTAAATATTGGCAGTTCAATTTTTCAGATTTAGTTCATAGGGCTTATTTGCCCAACTAGTGAAAAGCTAAAATGCCACGGAGATGCAGAAATCAATATGCTTTTTCACAGGACAAGTACAATGAGTGTGGTAAAACAAAGCGTGTGTCTATATGTGAAAAATCTGTTAGTCTTTAGGTTTAGTTCAGCTTTTTTTGAGCTGCTCTTTTAAGTTAAACTGAAGACAAAGCTTTGGAAGAACCATAGTAGTTACCCATTTTTTCTTAATTACTGCAGTTTGGATAAAGCTCTGCATTCGGCTGGCTTCGACTTGGGATTTATAATTTTAGGAACTAATCTGACCAATCCATTGAATATGCTGTTACCTGTTCTTCAAACAGTAAGTAAAAAATTGGTAATGTACATATGTAAGGATGCTGCTCTACTTTCTGGTAAGCTGTCAAAAGGCAAACTATGCTTCTCCCCAATTAATTAAAACAAAATTGTCTAGGTATATGTGCTGTAAAAGCAAGGCAACTTCCTTGTTAAAAATCTTTTAGCTATTAGATACTGATATGAAAGTCTTGGGTGGATGGAAGCCAGTTGCTGGGGGAAGGTGGTGCTTGAGACTAACTTCCATCTGATGAGAACATAATGGCAATGAAGACTGCCATCACTTGTAGTTACCATGCACAGCATAAAAGCAACTTTCTCCCATACTGTACCTACCTTATAGTTGTTTGTGTAATGAATAGTTGCTCCCCCTTAAGTGAGGTAAATGCACTTTTTTGCTTTTTAATATATTTATTGCACCTTGAAAGGTATATTACACTCTGCATTTATGTATATTATAGTAATGCATTAGTCTCTGAAACAAACCCTAAATGAGAACAAACATTTGTTAATGTCAGTAGGGTTGGAAGGCAACAAGGCCGCATATGAATTTGGCAGTCAGTCATGGGGAAGCAAAGAAAAAGAGAAGACTTAATGTAAGCTAGTGCTTTACTCCCCGCTAGCTGAGTTCTTTGCTTATTCTGGGTATAATGGGTTGGCACAATACATTGCTTCCCTATTGTTTCTAAACCATTAAACACCTAAGCGTGCAGTTTACTGAGAAGACTAGTGTTCAGCAGCAGTATTATCTCAAGCTGTTATTAATATAAATCCAGAAATCAAGAGCTGTATGCAAATATGCTCAGAAATACTCACAAATAGAATGCCTATACAATCCTAGAAGGATTGTTGCCACTGTGGACTTTCTTTTAAATGTACTCTCCAAATGGCATTAAGTATTTCTTGCCATAATTTTGAAGGATTATACCTTTTTAGGCCAAGTTTTAAATTAAGAAAAATGCTCGGTTGCTTTCCGAAACTAATTGTGTAAGCGCTGTTAGCAGCCAAATGTGTAAAACTTTTAAATGGAAGGACTCTTACCTCCTCAGATGCTGTAAGTAGAAACTACTTATTTAGCTTTCAGTGGGGGAAGAGCTTGTTTTCTAGTTTGAATGTTTTTTTTGTCTTTTTAACTGCTTGTGTTCTTCTCATTTTAGGTTTTTCCACTTGATTATATTCTTATTACAACTATTGTTATGTACTTTATCTTCACTTCAATGGCAGGGATTCGAAATATGGGTATATGGTTCTTCTGGATAAGGGTAAATATTACTTAAGGGTTTAGTTTATAATACTCAGTAATATTTAACAAATATGTGATACTGAATGTAATAATAAATAGTCTTTATGTACTGCTTCATAAATACTGGATGTTGCAAACAGCATTGTCCTGTATGTCTAATGAGTATTAGAAGCCTATTGTATACTTTTTGTTGCTTTTGAAAGGTGTTCTGTTTGCTAACTGATCAGACCAAAATTGATGTTTTAGTTTGATAAGCAATACAGTCAGCTGACTTAAGTGTTTAATCAGTGGCACTTTGGTTTCTGACTTTTAACTTAAAGCCTTATGATTCTGATATACTGGAAATATTAGTGAGTCTTATGGTCAAAATCTGAAAAGTGCATGCAATCAATAATGCTTGACTTGCTTTTTAGCTGGAAAACAAGTTTGTTTAGCTTGATAGGAGATAAAACAGTACAGTGATGACATGACATTCTAAATACAATGCAAATTAATATATTGCTGTATTTGAAAAGCAGCTTTGTATCCAGCAGCATGCCATTCATGCCTGTGACACTTGGTTAAAAATTTCCCTGCTTCTGTACCTATTTTCCCATTAATACTGTCACCTTTTCATGTGGTGACACCCCAGAATTGTGAACAGAGGCCCTGAGTCTTTGCAGTGAGTGGTAAGATTTTCTGTTGGTTTTTGTCTGCCATCATTTACCCCTCAGCTGCCAGCTGCTTTACCCTAATATGGTACCTCAAGTTGAGCCTTTGGGGATTACAGAGTAAAGTGATATCTACAAGGTAACAGCGAGGGATTTTGTTCCCTGCAGTGTAAAGTGGCTAAGATGCCACTATATGATGCGAAGTTTTCTCAGAGCCTGGGAATACTAGCTCATAACTCCCTCCTCTGTTTCTAGATAGGATTAGAGGTGTGGTAATAGATGATGCCTCTCCTTGACTGGAAGACACAATATTCTTTGACAAACCAAGGCACAGTTTGTTATCCATGATAGGCAACACCATTTAAACCTTGCCACTGACTGCTGGTTTGTAAATGTTCTGGGTCATTAATAAAATTAGTTTGGTTAAATAGCTGTGCTTTGAAATTCAGATAAATAGACCTGAAAACCTGCTTTGAGTCATTGGAATTAAGTTGCCAGAAGATAATTTTAGCAACCTCCCACTTTTGTCAGTAGAATCAAAGGTGTTACGTGAATTAAAGAACACTTTAAATGCTGTCAGAAAAAAAAAAATCATTATCTTATATTTGTGTATGTGTTCTGTTTTTAGCTTTACAAAATCAGACGAGGAAAAACTCGACCTCAGGCACTCTTGTTTCTCTGTATGATACTTCTGTTAATAGTTCTTCATACAAGTTACATGATCTACAGTCTTGCCCCTCAGTATGTAATGTATGGAAGCCAAAAATACCTGGTACAGGTGAGATGTAATACTTTTCTTTTAAATCCTACCTTCTGTATCAAAACTGTACTGTTTACCGTGACTTTTAAAGCTAGGCACATTCTCAGTTTTGAAGACTTTCTTGTAGCTAGGTTTAACTACTAGTAGATCTCTTGATAATGCACAAGCCAGAAACTGGTTGTACTATATGAAACACAACTTAATTCCTAGATCATCCTCAGACAGTGTAAAACTTTGAATATTGCTTTACTTGTTTTGATAAGGCAGCTGCTAGCTAGCTTCCACTAGACTTTGTAGTGATACTCTTTGACTGCAGTGAGGGTTAATTGTAGTTTTTAAGGCTCTCTGTAGACTGAAAGTAATGTTGTTCTACAGTTGATAGCTTTTATGTGTGTATTTGTGAGAAGTGACAAAGATAACTTGGTACAGTAGAGGGTAATCAGAAAGAATCCAAGTATAGGCTGATTAATCACATTTCAGATACTTTGGACTATCTAACTTTATGAAACTCATTTCAGTTCTTGTTCTGTAGGCAACTTGAACATTCGGTATTTAGGAGGTTTAATGCGTGTTTATTACATTTTGTGCTAGATATAACTAATACAAAATAAACATGCTTAGGTATCTATAAATTGGCTCAACTTGTCAGAATTACAGTAGCAACAAAAAGTAAGCTGAACATCAGTTTAGGAAAGCAGTTTAATTCTATGGTGCGTTTACATAGAATTTGTGGTATGATTATTCACTGTGTATGTAGCCTAGAAAAACATGTATCTGTATCTGAACTAGTTATAACCTCAGGTCTCTTGAAAGGGCAGTTTGGTTGGTTTTTTTTATCCTGTAGACTGATTGTATGTCTCTAATTACAGTGCAGAACCATTGTGGGTGGAAGGGTGGGAAGGACAGTCTTATTAAGGGTCCTACCAAGCTGAGCTTTAAGCTTTTTGGTGACTTGAGAAAAAGAATACTTCATGGTAAAGCTTACAGATAACATGGAAGATTGAAGAGAAAAGCGAATCATAAAGACTGTAGCTAGCAGTTTGTTTTGCTTTATGAATAAAATGGCATGTTTCAGTAAAATAATGTGTGTATATTGAGGGGGGCAGAAGGATTTGGACTTGACAAACATTTGTGAGTTAGCTGTTTATGACAAATAGTATCTGAACATAGATACATAGTTTGTAATTAAAAGGGTCAAAAGAGCAGAGCACAGCAGTAGGGAGGCTCTTATGTTGTTCAGACAGCTATTGAAACACAATTCTGGTGAGCACTGCAAGAAGGATTAGTTGGAATGGTTGAATAGCACTACAACTTTTCATTTAAAGGATTAAAAAAGTGTTATGGTCAAAATAGCCATCACAGTTGTTTAGCTTCTTGTGTCCCATTTCAAACAGCTGTGTTTAAAGTGCATAAAGTAACTTGGGTAGAAACTGTTTTGTTAAAATAACATGAAGCGAAAAGAGTATTCTGGTAAATTACATCTGGACTGCTCTGGCATACCAAGTAAATACAAGGTTTTCAGACAACATCTCAGAATCTTTTGGAATGTATCAGACATTTTCTGTGTCTGACTACTCTGATAGCTGGATATTAATTTTTTGTGCTTTGAAAAGAGGAGATATGGTGGCTGGGAATGAAGAAGAGTGACAGATTTTTCTGCGTATGTTAGCAATGAGGAGATTCTTAAGAGTTATGAATTGGTTATGATGAAACTGAGAAGTGGCCAGGAACATACACAGGAACTGGGCAGGTGAAACACAATTTTGCATATCACAAGCTTCCTGATGATGGAAGCTGTATGCGCCAGTTTGTTTGGACAGTCTACATTTTCACTGCTTCCACACCACAGTCCATTTCATCACTAAGTAACACCACTGGTAACCAACACTGTGCCTAACCAAGCAATAAATAAGCAATATTCCAAGTCACCTTAGTGGATGAGTGGACTGATAAACATGTATGTCAGAATCGGGTGGCTCACAGAAAGACAGTGTGGAGAAGAAGCACTTCCTGCTTTTCTTTGCTCTACAGTAATTCCCAATCTAGTAACCTGCCAAACTAATTTGTAACCAAAATCGTTAGTGATGCATTAGACAGGTTAGAATCCTGTTTGAATCTTGAACTGTTTTCTTTGGAGACTGTTACTCTTGACAAGACCTTCTAACTTTGAAGTGCTGTTGACTTTTCCTGAAAATTGAGTATGTGTAGAAAAATGGAGCTATTGTGAGGCAATTAACATTAGCTAGACCTGGGCTACTTGCTTTATTTTACTCTTTGACTGTTGGGATGTTTGAAGCGTGTGTCCCCACTTAATCAAAAGTGTCCTCAGCTATGGTGTCTATAGGAAACTTTTGAAAGCTTCTTTTGGATACAGTGCCCATATCACTGATGCCCTGTGTAGGGCTTTAGTCAGGTTGCATAGCTCTTCAGACACTGAGGAACGCTTGGTTTCATCTCTTAAGACAACCTCTGTATCATCTGCTAAACAGCCGTGAGTAGCTTGTATCCTTTCACAAAGGTAAAGAGTTCTGTCCACATCCAGGCTACCTTCTCAGCTTTGTAACAAAAACATGAGTTTGCCCATACTTGAAGTGTAACTGCTGTTTTTGTTCAGTGAGGCCAAGTTTTTCCTGTTGTCTGAAAGAAAGACCACTGCTTGCTGATGTTTCTACATAGTGGACCTGTAATACTTATGCTGGCCTTTTAACTTCTGTCTGGACCAGTCTTGCTGTAGGTGACACTGATACCTTTCCCTGGTTGAGGGCCAAAGCAGCAGCAGTCAGTTTTCTTCCTCAGTCTTCACATATATCAGAGCAGTGCAGCTAAGCCACAGGACACTGAGTGTCTCCGTTTGTCAGCAGAAGTCCAGAAATATCCCTTAGATGGTTTTTTTTTTATATGATAGCTTGCTATTTCCCCGAGTGTCCAAAATGTGTCAGCGCTTGAAGCACACATACTGAGTTACTGTACTTGGTTTTTGTCTCCTGCTTGTCCTTGAGGCGTCCTGCTGTCAGCTTTGGACTGGGTGTGAAAATTGGAACACTGGATCTTTACTCTGACAATACTCATATTGAAAATGTCTGTGACTTGAGTGCTCTACTATATAATGCTAAGTAAATTATTTGGAAGAATTGTTCTGTAGACACATCTCTACTGCCATTTATGCATCTTTTCCCTATCCAGTCATTTTTTTTCATGCCCTGCAGGGCAAAAGGGGCTCTACTTCACTTATATAGATATGCTAATACGAAAGTGCTGAGATGACAACATTAAGGGCAAAGCTCTCATACCTTTTTCTGGGAAATCAACACAACTTGGGTGCCTCTGAAGTGCCTCAATAGTGCATGCAGCGGGGGAAACAAAGGAGTTAGAAATTTGCATGCTGCTGCAGGTCTGCAGTCTCACTGGGATCAGAGATGTGGCGAAGTACTCACACAACTGGAGTGCTGCCTTGGATAGGTGTGGGCTCTAAGAGGGACAGGCTGGGGTGTCCAGCAGGGAGAGCTGGCCTTTATGTAAGCAAGCAGTGGGGATGTGTAGGGTTTTGCCTTGGGATGGATAAGCCAGCTAAGTACTTCGGGTTAGGGGGCAGATCAGCATGGGTGATACTGTCTGCTACAGGGTGCCTGATCAGGAGAAGTAGCAGATGCTCTCTTAAGACACCTGTAAGTAACTTCATGTTCACAATCCCTGGTCCTCACAGGAGGCTTGAACCACCCAGGTGTCTGCTGGAGAAGCAACACAGTTGAGCACAAGCAATCTAGGAGGCTTCTGGAGTGCACTGATGACTTCGTGACACAGACAACTGAGGAGGTGAAATAAGGAGACAGTGTTTTGGACAGGTGCTGAAAACAAGGAAGAAGTGATCAAGGGCAGTCTTGGCTGCAGGGAGCGTAATATCGTGAAAGGTCGGGATCCTAAGAGGAGAGAACAGGGCAAATAGTAGGATCACAACCCTGGGCTTAAGAGAGCAGATCCTGTCCTCTTCAGGGACCTGCTTATAAGAGTTCTAGCATGCAGAAATGAATTCTGTGCTGACAAAGGTACAGTTTTGTTTCTTTACTGTAATTTATTTCACTGGATGAAGTGATACTGAACTATTGCTGAGTCTTAACACAAATTTTGTCAGTTTTCAGTTAATCCTTAAGGTAATAACTTTCAACTTATTTCTCTTCTGTGGGAGTTAGCTTTGTGCAAGATTACTTTTGTTTAATACTTGTGTAGTTTGCTTTGTGTGGTACTACTTATATTGAAGGATCTTAAATTCGAATGCTAGAAATTGTAGCTATGTAAAAGTGAAAATGGTGTTCAGCTGATAGATTTAATGAGATTACTATTCCTCAGCGTGGCAAATGTGGTTCTTAATTTTTATTAGGAAGGTTTAATACAATGAAATGCTTTACTTCATATCTCTGGTTTGGAATACACATTTCAATTCTTATGTCTGCTTTGTGAAAAGGTAAAAACCTTTCAGTGGACCTTTGCAAGGTTTTGCCTTGTATAGGTACATCCCATTGCCTTGAGCTTGTGGAAAGCATTCGGACTTGAATCCAGATATGTCGGGTATCTTAAATTACAAGAGTGTTCAGGGAAAACCAGAATAATACCAGATATGGAAAAAAGCATAGGTATTATCAAAGAAAACCCACAGGTCTAGCTATTGTTGCATGTTGTACTTTTAAATTCTTACTATTTCAAAATCAAAATGAATGAAGATAAGGAAGACAAAACTTTGAAATAGCAAGATTCTAATTGTTTTGTGCTTTTTGTATGCCCCTGTTTAATTGTACAACGTATAATGCTGTTCTTTTGAAAAAAACACTCTCTATGACTGAGCACTGTAAGCAGTAATGGTGACAGGTGGCTGGAATACCTCCTGGAGCTGGACCACTGCTAAATGTACACTGAATAATTGAAATGTTGTGTTTTCTGTTCTGATGCTATTGTTTCTATCTACACATTGTCGTCTTATTTTTGGTTCCTGATTCCTGTGGCTAATCATACTCCTTTTGGATCACTTTCTTCTAAGGCAGTAGTGGTCTCCATGCTTTCATGTGTTTGCATGAAACAAAGTTAACTGTTCATACAAACTGCTGTTTTTTAGGATAGGCACTTGGCTACTTTGAGTGTTGAGAGTGAAAGCTGAATTTACTTAATATTGATAAACTTTGTTCATTAAGTTGTCAGAGAAACACTTAGTTCCATGTGCCAGCCTGTACTAATTTCTGATAGGTTTTAAGGGATGAAGGAAGAAAGGTGTTGACCCTTACTGGTTTCTTTAGAGGGCTTCCTGTTTAGGAAATCATGGGGTGAAAATAAGTACAGTAAATATGAGGCCCTTTGAAGTGAGCTAGTCTATGAAGAAATCAATGTAGTACAAAGGATTTGCGCTGGACTCTGCTGAAATTATTCACTGATTATTCAAAAAGTGTGGTACATAAAGAGTTCATGTGGTTGCTGAAGGGATCAGTTTTCCAAAGACTTGAGACATTTAAACAGGAATATTTGGGTTTTTGATAGTTCACTTCAGCATAATTTTTCTTCCTCCATTCTGGCTATCTAAGTATATTGGATACTATCATCCTGACTTTTAGACCAGAAGTAAGCTGTATTTGGTATCATTATGCAAGCCCAACATTTCCATAGTATCTTCATCAACAAAGCAGAGTTCCAAATTCATTTTATACACAGTTTAAAGGTTTAGTTTCTGAGATGACATTTTTATTTTTCATGAGTCTTCAAAAAGAACACAAGCTATTAATTTTTTCTAAATGAAGGCATATGTAGCAATATGCACATTGTACCACTTACAGCTTACTTTGCATGTACTGTTCAAAACCAATCTTCATTCTTTTGAATATCGTAAGAGGTTTGACAAAGCCTTTTCTATAAAATTATTATTTTATTGGGAGATGTGTTTGTTTCGAGGATTATCATTGTGTGTGGAAGAACATTGCTGGTAGAGTAGTGTTCTAATTTCCTGTATTTATAACACAGAGTAATAAGACAATTGATGGCCAGCCAAGGAATGTGACAACATTTGTATCTAAAAACTGTGATGCAGATGCACCTGAAGGTAAGATGAATTAATTGCTTGTATTTCCTATGTTATATGTGCATGCTCAGCTGTAATAAGCTGCTCAATCTCTTCATGGTTTTAACTTGCTTTGGTTTAATATGAAGCTTTGCATACCTGTGTCCAGAAAACGGCTTGCTTACAACTTATTTAATTCATTTGAAGAATTGACTATTTTTAGTGGAAACCATGTGTAACAAAATATTCCAGTTAAAGCAAATGGGTAATTTTGAAGTTAACATGTATGTAAAAGACCTTAATAATAAACCCTAGCTGGTGAATAGTTTAGCAGCTGAACTGTCACTTCAGTGTTTATGTTTAATATAAGAACATCCAGAAAAGTGTTCTATTAAATTTCGCAATATACTCAGGAAAATCTAAGATCTGAACTTCTCAGTGCAACTCCACAGGTAAGAGAATTCTGGGCTGTTCTATGAGTAACAATATGTGTCAAACTTGATGTCTTAGGCTATTTTCCTGTAATCCTCTTACTATTAATTGATCATTACACTGGATGTTACAGGCAATGTTTGCTCATCTGTGTTATTAACTGTCCCTTTTTGATCAGTTACTTGGGCACAAGATGTGTTGTGGATATTCTGCAGCTGGGAGTAGTGACTAGCAAGCAGGTGGATAATTGTGGAGCTTGACTTTCCATTTACGCAGGCCTTAATGCTGAATTTTTTTGCGAGAATGGTAATGTTTTCTTTCGACTTTACTGCTCTGTGAAACTTGGCTAAAACTAGGAATGAATTTTAGCCTGGTGTCACTAAAAAAAAAAGCTAACTGAAATCATGCTAGATTTGTTGTTTACAATGTTGCCTTTCCCTTACCTCTGCGTATAAATGTTTTTTGCAGTTTGAGTTGCTCTAGCCATTGCAATACTGCTATTTAAGGTCACCATCAATTTTATTGGTTGCTTTGGTCTCTTGTTTGAAAAACTGATCTCAGCAAAAGATTTATTGCCTTTGGAATGGTCCAGACTTTTTCAGGCTGAAGCTCTCAATTGTTCTCATTCTGACAAACTTTCAGCTCCTCTGTATAAAAGAGGAGCTGAATTGTGTATGCATCTATATACTTAGAGAAAAGCTTGACAGTGTTTGTCAATTGATAAGATAAATAGTTGTCTTGTATTCTCATCTTATCAGTTTTTGGTAACTACTGAATTCTGACTATGCTTCTAGAAGATCTTAGCAGCTCCTCAAGCTTTCTTCCTGATTGTGGTATTAGGACAGATAATATTTAAACTGTTTTTGTACTGGTGGAGGTAATGGACTATTAGTTCTTTGTTCCCAATCCATCAGGCTGTAGTCGCTTTTGAAAAGTGATTCCCTTATATTTAAACTCATCTTCAAATTTAATACAGTTATTTGTCTTATTCCTGGTGATTCATCTTATTTCCAAAGGGGGATGGATTTTTCTCTTCTCTCCCATACTTCAGATAAATCATTCATCCACCTTTATTTTTGATGGCTACTTTTAGACTTAATGCAGTTTTAAGTGTTTTGATATTTTGACAAATTTATTGTCCAATTCATATTTAAGCTGCCATATTTTTGCGATTAAAAGTAGCAGCTCTTCTGTAACAGAGTTTAGAAGAGCAAAATCTGTCATCTTTCAAAATGAGATCACTTTGAGCAAGTTGTACAGACCTTTGTTTCTTATAAACAGCTTGGCTAGTGTTTGCTGGGAGAAGAATACTCACTGGTATCAAAGTGAATTAGTCTTGGCTTTTCTGAGAGAAATTAATAGTTTGATTTCTTCGGACTTCTTGCTTAATTGTAGGAACTGGAATTGGCCTGAAACTTCCTAAATTCCTTCTGTGTTTGATATTTTTGAGTACCTGGAATACTTTGCATGATTTTTTCCATGATTTGCTTTGATCAATGGAAAAAATATAGCTGATACTTAAAACTAGTGGTCTGATGTGCTGAACAGTAGAGGTGGCCTGTGTATGTGATGGTTTTGGTTTGCCATCATTAACACATGTGATTGCCCTGGGTATCTTTGAGTCATGTTCTGCCTGCTTAATAGGAAAGAGATGGAGAAGGTATTGATATGCTGTCCTATGCTAGCCTAGTGTAAGTAAAAGATGGATGGATATTTCTTCAATGTGAACGTTAGTGTGATCAAAAGGCTATAGTGGAGTTCTGTACAGATGCAATCAGGCCATTAAAGTGTTTTTCTAAATGAAATAAAAGTTTCTTTTCTAGTGTTCAACTCTTAAAAAAAAAAATAGTGCTTAGTAAAAACACTTTATTCACTGTTTCATCCAGTCAATTTTAGAAAGTGGAAATATAATGCTTGCCTTGGAACAGCTGCTGCTTTTAATCCTTGATAATGAAAACTAAGAACTATTTTAGATACTACTCTTATGCTCTATGATCAGGTAGAATACATTGACAAGTGAAACTTATTTTGAAGGTAGGAACTAGATTTTTTTAAATACAATTTCTCATGTTCTTAAGGATACTAGACACAGAGCAACAATAAATGCAGCTAACTTTGAGTTAAGAAAATGATTGGCCAAACACTTGTCGTTTTTATTGACTTCACTGGTACTAGGGTTTTATCTTATGTAAACCACTGAACTGGAATTAAATGCAAATATTTATTTGTCTTCTCAGCACTTTATTTAAACTGAATTAATTCTAACAGGTGTTTTTCCTTAAAGGTCATAGTTTGTTTTGTGTTTTAGTGGCTGTGCTGATAGAAAAGTGTATAGCAATCTACTCGGTTTTTTTGAATACTCGGGTGTTGTAGCTATGATCTGTACTTACTGTAACTAAGTGCATTTTTTCTTTCCAAGATGATAGAAGAGACCTGATCATGTTGTAGCAACTAGTACTCAAAAACTTCAGTGTTATTAAAACTTTAGGCTTTAATGGACAGTGTTTTCTGTATATGTGTTTCAAACCAGCGTTTGGCCTGATGAAAAGGACAATTACACTTTCTGAAGAAACAAAGGCTGTTTAAAATACAACCACAAAACCACACTCTTAAGTATTTATGGTTAAATGTATAATTTGTGGGGGTTTAGCATTACGTTGTCTGCTTTCATGCAGCAAAGCTTGTCTCTGCTCCTGGGATGTAGGAGGTGAATCTGCTTTATACGGAATGCCAGAGGCTGTGATAGTGTAACTACATGAAACAGACAGAACAGAAGCCAAAAAGTAACAGAGCAGGCTATATCTTGTAACTCAGTAAAGTAGCTTTTTCTTAGTTACATTTAAACATCTTGCACAAAAGTCTTGTGTTCTGGTTAACATAAAATTTTTAAATACTTTTTTGGAGCAGCAAATTTAATATGTTTGTTATAGGCAAAACAAGCATTAGTTTTCACCGTTTGATACGGTTGGGCTTATTTGATCATTGTTTTCAAGGACTTGTGCAAGCTGAACTGTTGGTTCCACAGTTCAGTTGAGCATAAGGTCAAGCAAAGGAGTTCAATTAGGTGATTAAGACTTGCAGCTGGACTAATGCATTGAAAACTTGGTATAGGTTTAGCTAAACAGGTTAATAAGATTTAATGTAAATGAGCAGTGACTCAGCTGAAAGCCTGTATACAAGTATTTTCCCAACCTTAATTATGAGAGCTGATAAACACTGTGCTTCTTTCTAGACCAGAAAACCATGAAAGTAGTTTTTTAAGCATCATTCACTTTAAATGCAGAACATGGTATGAATCCCCCTTGACTTGGATTCTCTCAGTTCCTTAACTGAGAAATGAGCCTTACCCAAAGCCTGCTAAATGCTGGGTACAGTCCATCTGCTGGGCCTTTTGCATAGACCTGCACTGACTCCAACTGCGTGTAAGGTGGGATAGAAAAAAGGTTATCTCAATTTTTAAGGCTTTGAACTGAGCAGGACTTACTGTGCATGAATTCATTTGCAAAGTTATGAAATGCTTTACAAAAAGCCAAAATGAGGATTTTGGTGAGGGCTTGGTCCATTTTCCTGTTACTTCACTAAATTACCTTACTAGTACTTCACCCTGAATCTCTACTTATATCTAACATTGAAGTTCTCTATAATCATGAGAACTCAATATAATTAAGCACGATGCTGAACTTTTGACTGCAGAAAGCCTGTTTGGCAGCTGCAAATAGGAGTAACTAAGAATGCTGTAGATCTTCTGCAGACAATTGATGGACGTGCAGTTGTAGAAACATAATTCCGACACATTTTTCTGCACCCCACTGCTGTGGAAAGATACGAGCTGCTCTGAACTACCTTTCTCCCTCCAAGAGGTAGTAACTGGAGAGAGAAGAGGCTGCATTTACTAAGTACTCTGAAATGTTAAATGGGGTTTAGCAGTAAAGCAATTGCATATTCTCTTCTTGCATCAACATCCTAGTTTTATTGCCTGTTGGATTTAAGCCCAACAGTAAAGTGAGATGCTGTGATATTATCAGTACTTTGGAATAAGAGCTGAAGTTTCTTACAAAGGTTTGAAGGGTATGCACCCATTATTAAAAGGAAGTAGTGAACCCAGTGTAAGAACCCCTTTGAGTAAGAAACCTACCAACACTTCGCCTACAAAATGTCTTTTAATAGAGGCAGTTCTCTTACCAGAAGAAGGCATCATAGTTGGCCCCTCTATAAATAGCAATATCATCAAATCTTTTCATCACTGAGAAACATTAATTACAACATGTATTGGAAGTATTTTCAATGAAATATTGGGAGCTACTTCTGCTGGTGTAATCAAATAATATATTTATCTTGCTACAGACAACTGATGAATTCACTACATAACATTCTTAAGAACAGCCATGCAGAAAACTTAAACAGTAGCCTTGTAACTACAGCTGCTGAAGCTCCATACAGATGTTTCCCATCCATCTTCAAATATGGCTTGCCCAATAGAATTAGAAAGGATCAGTTCATAAAGATGGTCTTTCTCACTGCCTAGGATGTGTCCTGCAACTAGGTTGGATGAATGATACTGGACTGGGAAAATCCTGTCTGAACTGTGAGGGAAACCTGATTGGATTAGT